TTATTTATTTATTTTTATGGGTTTATACCATTAGAATACCGGAAATTAAAAACAAATGGGTTCGCCAGATTAATTTGTCGACAAACAAACTGTCATTAAAAATCCGTATTTTGCAGTTTTGCAATAGTTTTTTTATATTACAAAAGTTTGCTGGGTGACGTGAGATGAATTTTATTATATTATATTATATTATTATTGATACAAATCGTAATTTTCAATATATACAATAGGAAAACCATCATCATAATATATTGCATATATGCAGAGTAACATGCTCAGTTGTGTAAAATTTGAAGTTCTCTCTCATAATGCATTGCATATATGCGCAGCAACATGCTCGGTAGAACAACATTTGAAAATTGCTTTAATTTCCTTAATAAAGATGTGTTGATTATGGAACTATATATATCTTTTCCAATTATATTTCAGTTATTTTCTTCTGAACGCAACTAAATACATTGCAACAAAACTCCACTAATAAATTCATAACATATTTTCGCAAAAAAAACGAATAGCATACATGTGTGGTCAACACAAAGTAGTTTTCGCCCTTGGTTCTAATTCGATATTATTTAACCTTATAAGTGAGTGTCGCATTGACAACAAAAACTGTTCTTCACTTGTTCCATGTATCCCGGGGATTTCTAATCAAAAAAGTATTCCATTAAATTTCCCTTGATGTTATGGGGAGTCTCAATCTGATTAAAATCCGATGTAGGTATGAGGCTCCAACTTTATATAATATTTATTTGTACTTTTGTTTGAATATGTCGATTTTTTTGGTTTTACTTGCCGTTAATCAGTTCTTAGTCAGTTGTGTTCCAGTCGCCTCTAACTATTGGGTCATAAAAAATGGAGCCTCATACCTACATCGGATTTTAATCAGATTTTAATCAGTCTGTTCCACATGATGGATGCAATGGATCTGAAGAGGTGTCGTGTATGTCACGTGATATCCTGTATGTGTCATGCCCTAGAAACTACGATGTAAAACAATTCCATTGATATGCCGAAAACTAAAATGTCACATATTGAATAATATGGTTCAATAATTTTTTTTTTAAATTTGAAATCATGCATGATTAGATTAAATTTTGAAATATATTTCCCTATTGCGGAAAAAGGGTTGTCTGACTGGTAACATTTTCAAATTGAAATAAACATTTTTTATCATTCTTTAAAAAGCAAGAACTTTAAAATACTGTAAAATACTTTATTTTTGCTTGGAATTTATTCCCTCTGAAAGAAAGATTAAGTGATAAATAAAACCCAGCGAATATTCCTGTTTTCCTACATCTTAAATTTATTTCGTCAAAAATCAATGAAAATAAATGCCGTACAAAACACCCCAAAAAGTTTTTTTTTTCGCGAAAATGAATTCCAGCTTAAATATTATTTTATAGTAATATCAATAATAATAAAAGCTGAAAACTAGCTTATTGACATTCGATTCGAGACACAGCAACTAAGCGCGAAATGAATTTGATTATCCATATCGATTTCACATTCATGATATTTACACAAGTTTGTTCAAAGCTCCTATTTTTCTGTGAACATAGCTTAATATATTGGAATTCGTTACCCATGACAATAAAATAAAATTTCCTTCGAAACAACAACGAACCAAAACACGCTATTTAAGTAACTCCTAAATTAAAGTGTTAATCTACTACATGTGTAGTGTGGTTGATGATGTCAAAGATGTTTCAGTCAATTATGGTTTGCGTCAATTCAGCCATACATTAGTTATATAAATCTGAACATTTTTTTCTACTCTAGATGTGTTCTCATTACTTCAATATTCAGAAAAAAATCATTAATTTAATCATATTGGTGTCTGTGCGCGTGTACAGCACTTGTGAAAAGAAAAAAATATGGTTATATGCCCCCTTTTCTTTATAGTTGTTATGATGCTTTTAATCAGAGAAATAATTTACTGTTGTAAATGTTGATAATATTAACTAGCGCATTATGATAAATATATATTCCCTAATATTGTAGTTCAAGATCGGGGACATCGAGCATTGATTATTGTTATTATTACGGCGGTGATTTGTCCAGCTTACGTCACAGGAACGCTTCACTACTAGATGTAGTAACTAACAGGTACGATGTTTTACGTACATGTGGGTAATTTTCACTATTATTAGCGATGGAAATGAGTTAATACTGTTCAAGCCAGTGTTGATGGATTTAGTGTACACGTGAAGTCATGCCACTAAACTAACTACAATAAAACTAATGTTACGGTAGAATGATTTTTTTTTATGTATGAATCAATGCCTAATATATAGAATTACTTTTCTGAGAAAGTTAAAGCAGGGGAGTCGTCACCTACGAAACGCGTCGGGTGGCCATAGCGTGTCATTGTTTACAAACAAGCGTCTACCCATGAGTCTTCCCGTTATTAGCGTGTGTTGTTATCATCGCTTGGGACTAAATTCCCGCGCGTGCGCAGGTGACGACCCTCCCATTTTAATGTTTACTTATTTCAAGAGTTACATATATGTAAACCAAAAAAATGTATATTATTATTTTCATAAACAATAAAAGTGAAATAAGTTGACCAATTTGTTTTTAAAAATAATTACTGAAAGTATTTACAGTGATATTACCCCCCCCCCCACACACACACACACACACACACGTGGTGAAAAAAAATTGTTCTTATATTAATACGGGAAATGATCGAAAATGAATTTCTTCCAAGATATACGGCGATTCGTATATATATTCATATATATATATTGATAAATTGGAATAAAAAATACTAGGTCTAAATAGGTCAAAAGTCGGAATCCTAAAATGTTTCTTAGAAATAGCTCTGATTCTGGAAAATTAGAAAAAGAGTCGATCGATTCAATAGTGATAAATACTGTGTATGAGATTTGATGAAGGTAATGGAGGGTCGGTTGTATTTTGTTGAGTTAAGGTTGTATATATCTATAATTTTTTCGAATGATATTTTAATTTAAAAAGTAACATTTTGTTGATATTTCAAATAGTGGACAGTGATAGTCGGTGTAATTACTTAAAGTACCTGAAGACCGTAAAAAAGTCCCGGCTCACGTGTGGCAAATTTCATGGACTCGCAAAGCTTCATGTTCGGCACCGCTGCTTACTAGTACTCGAAACTGTCAAAGACTGTCAACCTGCAACAATTCCGCGTGAATACAACCTGGAAGGGTCATTATTGGAAAGAATTCTTGTTTTAGAGCTATTTGTGTGTATTCGACTACAGCTCTCCACACCAGGGACTGTGCAGACTGTATTTTCTCAATATAACGGTACGCAGTAGGCCCGTGATAACTTTACGTACAATGAATACGCGCAGCATGTGACATGTGTATAGTTTATGCATGAATGAAAACGACTTATATAGTCAAACTCGGATTAACCATTGTAATCCAGGGAGCTAGTAGACAAAAGGAATATAAAATTACTATTCAAAATTAAATTTGATCCCAAAATCATGTATGAGTATATTGACAATTAATAAAAAATGTCCGGGTCACCGGGCAAATCGTTGAGACCACTTTGTCTGTGTTAGGCGTCTTTTGTTGTTGATTCGTAGCTATGGCAACGACATCTCCGCATATCGCTAGTTCGACTTTATGACAGGTGACACAGGGAAACTAATTATCGTGCGTACTTCTGAATTATTTTAAATCCGGGTTACACAAATATGTCACGCTTAAAACAACTCATTATGCTCTGCGAAAATGTGAGTATGAACACAGCCCGGATCATTCTCCGTCGCAGAGACTATGGGTCTTTTATCACTAAGCTAGGTAGTCGCCAGGGAACGTCCCACTAGTTGCGGCTCTCTGTGGCTCCCTAGGTCAAGAAGACTCTGCAAGGGAGAGTGAGCCCGGATAGAGGGACTGTGGTATGAATTAAATACTCCAGTCAGAAGCTTTGTGTCAGTTTATTTAAACCCATGACTGCCTCATACCTCAAATGCTTGTAGATTTGGCTCTAGCTGTTGTAGCTCAGACCATAGAAGATACTAACGTCAAACTACAGTCTGAGGTTAGTAGCAATTGATACAAATACTTTCATTAAAGGTCAGCTCTGTTGTTACTCTGGATTATTCAAATTCCAGTCTTTGTTTTCTTACGTAATTGTCATTGTTTATTATGCACTTGAAGTATACTAGTAGTTTATTGGAAAGTCAGAGAATGCCGTTGAATGGTAATCATTGACAATGGATAATTCTTTGATTGGTATATTACATAGCAATGGATCCTAACATGTCATTGGCAACATGCACACAACTTTCCTAAAATTCCTTTGCTATAAAATTCGGTATAAAATTAATCACTCACCAGCATGGTTATTATGTTCTGCAATCGCACCGATCAAAATATTGAAACATTTATAAGTATTTTGTAGTAATATTAGAACAAATACTTCATGTTTAATATTAGTACATTGTGTGCATTTCAAAAGTTGAGAGAGTGGAATAAGTGTCCTAGTGATGAATTATTGGCGAGGAAAATACTTTTCTGCAAACTTAAAAAAAAAAAAAAATTGAAAACAGTTGGGAATATTTACCAAAGGGTTTATCCCGTAAATTTCAATTGGAAATACTGCCGAGTTTTCAGAAAATCGCGGACTTAATAATTTTGACCACGCACAGTCCCTCTATCTATAGAGGGACTGTGGACCACGGTTCTTCTAGTAACTGTGTTTTAACAAGGTCCGGCATTTAGTCTGTCACGTGACTTACATGTAAACAAATGACTAGCGAGTACAAATGTATTCCTCAATGTCCAGACTTTCAAACAATATGTGGTAAATAAATGTTTTGAATGAGAAACAGATAACAGGTAATTCTTTATTCAAAATGCAATAACACCCGTCCCTTTTTTTGCAATTATTCCCAAGCGTTGTTGGTTCTACCGTAACACAGAAATACAAGTACGTCAATTCACACCAATACGCTAATAAGCTACTTTGCAAGGTCATTCTAGCGCATGCGTCGTCGCGGTGAATGCATTTTAATATCACTCGCCAACATCGCAGTCGAGACAGGAGGTTTCAGAAAGCAGCGCACAGCGTCAATAACCCTTCATGATTTAGAACACATACCGAAGTCTTATCGACTTATTCTATCCGAACCCAAAGGTAAGTTCTACGACCTTTTTTTTCGCATTGACGATGTTTTCTCATAAATGTTCTGTTCATATACCCTGATTTTCACCGTCAAAGGGCTCACGGTCGAAAGTAAAGAATCTGCCTATTCATATTACGTCTTTATTAGGCCACCCTGGTCCTGGTATCTATTGTATGCCATGTAACACGACACCTCAATTGATCTATGCGCGATACCTAGACACCCCCTCTAAAAAAAACGCGTGAAGCCAGACATAGGCTAACAGATACATCGTTATCACAACGTCAGAAATGGCGTTCCGTTTCCACTTTTCATTTAGCTTTCATCGTGAATAGTGGGCGCTATGTCTAGTGCAAACGTGTGACGACAGGGCCTTTTGTGTTGCGTCTACCGCTCTGTCGTCGGCACGTTCACAGTTGCTGCGTGACTGCTACTAAACCCCCTGCTTAATTTTACGTGCAGCGGATTTGTTCCAATGATACGATCGCAGTTTATTTTACACAGCGGTGGCTCGTCGCTGTGGAAACGATGCTGCCGACGTCTTCAATTTCATAAACCTATTTAAAGACAAGAAAAACGGATATGTTTATGGTTAATGCGAAAGAGGGTATAGCTGCAGGGCTATGCAAATGAAAATACTCATCATTAAGCCGCCATATTGACATATAGACTGTCTGTTGTAGCATTTTGTAGTACAGCATCAGATGAAGAGATTGTCATGTTTTGTGTGACCTTATGATTCGATCAGATGAACAATTTAAATAGTTTCCCCTTGCTTGGGAAGACTTCAAAAGAAAACGATCGTAGAAAAACAATACAGTTATAAATAAAATAAATAAATATTACATGATTTCAGAACGAATCGCTTTATTAATAGTAAATGTGGCAATTTGCCCATGACCCAGCAAAACCACGACGAACCACGCTTTAGACAGTTAGGCCATGGGTTTAAATTTAACGCCGGTCATCTTAAATAAATATATCGTCCAATCGAATAAACAAACTATTAACAGTATTATCGCTAGAATATAGAATTTCGTTGTATGATCGAGGATGCGTGACGATTACATATACCTTCAATGATGACGCGACTTATTATGAATATTGTCACATGGCAGCAAGATAACGTCACGGTCACGCGCTACTCTGCGTACGGCATGCATGGCCGCTACGCTATAGCGAATGATGCAAGGACACCGGGGTTTCAAAATTAAATTATAAAAAAAAAAAAATTTGTTCACATTCTTGACTGTAGTTTCACTCATGTAGAAAATCGCAAGTATATTCCCACATGGCGCGTTTTTGATATCTCTCTGATATGCCTGCGAGAACACACGATAACTTGACTGTCTTTGATTAGACCTTGTACTGATTAGTCTACCTATTCGTGCTTTGAATGGTAAAACAATAATTACAACTGCACGAGACTTTACCGCGTTTCTGTCCATTGTGAATTATACCGCGCGTATCAAACCAGATCATTGCTGTGAAATATGGCGCCATGCCTCTAGTAACCGATAGAGTACGACAGCTCCGATACAACTTTGAACTTTGATCTAAAAACGCTTTGATTGAATCCAAACCGATTGAAAATCATCAAACAGAATTCTAGCGCACAGTCGTCGGCTATTCTGTCCCGGTATACTTCTTTCCTCCCTCCCCTCTATAAAGAGAAATATTTTTAAAAGGAGAAAGTTCATCCACGATTGTGTACGAAACATATAGTTAATACAGAAGTCACGGTAACTAATTTGTTGATAACTTTGCGCTAGAGTGGTGATCGCGTACACCTCGGTGACGGTCATTGTTGAAGGCGACATGTTGTTTTACACTTCTCTTATTGTAGCCCATATAGTCGTGCGCATTCATGAGTTTTGTGTAACCCACGGTTATTCCGTTGGTATGTTATATTCATGGGAACTTCGCAATGCTCATGCCCAGTAAATCTGATTACTCGTCGGCTGATGAAATATAAATAAAAGGTCAATGGATAATAAAAGAATCGGTTCCCATAGCTGACAATTTCAGGCATCTCGTTTGTTCCCCATTTGATACGGTCACGATCTTATCATTGGTAGAAGGCATTGTGCGTATCACGTGATAGGATGTTACGTCATCAAATAGCAGTACGTCATTTTATTAGTCGCGTTCAGTTGGTATACTAGATAGTGCTGACAAATGACAGATTTGAATTTACCGTGCTATTCTGAAAACAAAATTGTAAAATGTCCGAGTCGTTGAATGTTCACGCCATGAACAAACTTAAAACGCAATAAAACCGATAATATACATTCACGTACTATTTTTTGTTATAGTATGCGGGTCAGTATGAATGATTGTACCACTGCCCGGCATTTCTCTGGAAATACTGCATAATTTGTTCAATCCTAATCTGCAATTACATGCCGTTATTATTAGGGGTACTCAACCATTATGAAATTGCATCACGTGACCATGGCACCCCCCCGATATAATTATGTTAGGTCAGAGGAGGCCAAGGTCACATAATATAAAATTAACTCAGCTTCATTGAGTTCAGTGTTCTGGTATGTTACAAACACGTATACTTATAATACGCCTTTTGATCAACTTCAAAACGCATGGCAACGTTCATTCAGCTCGCAGTTGTATGCATTGTATGTTTCTTTAAATAAACCACTCATTTTTTTTGTCTGGTGATGACATTTCAACCATCACAATGCTTTCACCTTTACGTGTGTTTGCTTTCACGTTCACTAGTGAGATTACTTTTGTCTCCTTATTTATTTATTTATTTATTTATTTATTTATTTATTTATTTATTTATTTATTTATTTATTTATTTATTTATTTATTCATTCATTCATTCATTCATTCATTCATTCATTTATTTATTTATTACATCGCTGATAACAGTATTTGATACATATTAAAAGAAGCGTATTTTTTACCCACTTCGTTACATCTGTGTTACTCCATTTCAGACGGGAAAGTAATCGACTTCAGTGATAACTGGCATTTCTATTTTTGGATACGATTCCTTATTATCGTTCAATTGTATGTCAAAGAACGATCACGGCGACATTCCGGAGCTGTCTGCAATCAGTTGGCAAATATTATTTTCAAAATCATCCGTTATTTGTCAAAGCAATTACATCGGGAGTGTGGAGACACGTTCGTGTATGCATTTCATTCGTAATCATCCGTACGTGTCTCAATGTGACGTCACACTACAGGGTATATTTCACTTTCCTGGCTACTGTATTACGTATACCATGGGGTAAAAGACATTCTTTTGCCTCCATGCGTATACCATGCACTATAGTTAAATAATCAAGGATTTTGGAGCTGCGTGTCTAAGGTTTCAATTATTTCACCGCCTAAATTAATTTCATTTTGTTTGTTACATACTCATCATATCATACATTTGAATTTAGCGGCAAAATACCCGAAAACAACTTAAGATGAGGTGATAAAGATTGACAGTATTAAATTGGCAAAAAAAAAAAAAAAACTCAGCCATTGAGTGAACTCGTTTCAGGCAACACTATATACATAGTATCAAAAGCAGCCAATCAATGCACATGATTCAACAAAACACTATATAACTCGAATCAAAATCGGCCAATCAATACCTTATACGTACGTATTACCTTGCATCTGGAATCAAAACAAGCCAATCATTCCACACGTTTCGCTTACTCTGACTGTCATCTAAATTCAGTTTACTAATCCGTTCACACGTCATATATAACTTGAATCTAAATAAACCTTATAACCTTATATTTGGAATTATAATCAGCCAATCAGAGCACATATTCCATGTAACACCATATAATTAGAATTTTAATCAGCTAATGAGAGTACACACTTCATGTGATACCATATAACCAACATCATCTGGTGCGTTGTTGTCATGGCATGTCGTAAAACACTCTGGTGGTTGCTACCCCAATTTGCATATTTTGTCTCGTCCTTGTCAAGCACTCCCAAGATGAATCTTCACTCAGAAATATCAATCGAAACATCACTTATAAGTGAAACCATTATTGGATTTCTTTGCAGGCATCTGCTGCGAGGAACAGCTTAAAGCGGGAGAGTCGTCACCTGCGCATGCAGAAGACGGCCATAGCGTGTCGTTATTTAAAAACAAGCGTCTACCCATGAGCCTTTGTTTTTTTTAGCTTGCGTTGATATCGTCGATGTGGACTCAATACCCGCGCGTGTGCAAATGACGACCCCCTCCGTTTTAAGAAGATTAACGTGAAATATGTGAACACTGATTATACTGTGGTCAAAATATTCGCTTTTCTGTAATTGAAATCGTATCGTATATGCAAAGTCCTGCAGTGGGGTATTCTGAGAAGCGCTAGGTTTCTACAAATAAATGACGCTTACTCAAAAATATCGTGTTGAGAGATGTGCTGAGTTTCAGCGCCAAAAAAACGTTCCAAATATTGGCGACGTGGCTACGATCAGTTCACACATAAACTCAACGTAGAATAATAGCCTCAGGGACATACTAGTAGTTGAACAGATCGTTCTGACCCAATATTACGACACCATTTTATGGTCATTGGACACAACTTTACACATCATGTGAAGCAGAAATAGGCCAGGGCTGTCTCGGATAAGCATTACAACTCGACTCGCGGGATTACGTTAATGTATAAGTTCCTACCGCTAAGCTATGGCTATTCCAATAATTTCATTCACAACTACACATAGTACGCCGTGTTGAAGTATTCCTAGTGTAAACCTGTGGTATATCCTATTTATCTCTCTTCATTGTGCGATTGATTTTTCCCTGCCTGCTTTCTTTACAGATTTCTGAACAGAAGGCAACTCATGTATTTGTGGCGCGCCTTGTCTCCGTAAACTCAGTGCCGCAGAAAGCATTTCATTACCGAGTTAATAATAGCATTTCTTCCAACTACGGCATTCAGAAACTGTAGTGACATGCCCTTATGGTAGATACAATCTATTTTACCAATGCCACCCATGTCAAATACTAATATGTCTCACAATCTTT